CCCGAAGCCTGGTAGAGGCTAGTGACATGTATTCATCGGTTAATATCTAATAATTGCAAGAATTTTGTAATAACTGTTGTTGCTGGAAGCCTTTATGTCGATACATTTCAGATGTGCTTTATTGTAAGCTTCCCTTTATAATACCCATGTCAAGCTAAAATAACGGGAATGTTCTCATAACTGTTACACTGTTCAACCACGGAATCATCTGATGATGTAGGACAGCGTCAGACACAAAGGCTTCGAATCAAACAGTTATTAAAAACTTAATGTAAAAAAATATTGAATAACTTCGACGTCAGAAGGGAGTATGTACAAAGGTTGCTAACGACAACATTTTTCTCTACTTAATTAGATAGTACATTCTAGCGCCTGAATAAATTGACTGTACAGTACATGCTATTGGATACACAGTTGCCTCCGTAAATAATTGCATCAGGTTGGAAGATACTTAGGGTATAGAATTTTCTTCTTACACAACCAGTAAGGACCAGGTGAGAATGAACAGTTGCCTCGTTTCTCTGTTCAGATAACCAAAAGGGAGAACCGATAACATTCTAGGCTAAGCTACGTATTGAAGCTACGGGTTTGAAAGCTGTACATGTGAATATGGAAGAAGAAACGAAAGTATCGCCAGTAGAAGGTGGCACGAACCATGTTCTGTCCCTCGGCTCAACATCTCGCGATCTGCAAACGGCATATCTTGTCATCAGCCTGGTGCTGTCGGTAGGATGCGGCCTGCTGCTCATCTTCTTAGTTTGGAAGAAAGAGTATCTGCAAAAGCCCAGCCACTACCTGCGGTGTAACCTGGCGGTAGACGACATCGTCTTCACCGGCTGCCTGATTCCCGTCCGTGTCTACGCACTTTTCCGGCAAGATGCAAGCGGGGGACAGGTGTGGTGCGCGGCTGAAGCAGTGGTAGCGATCGCATTTGGGATGTCTATGTATGGTACATATATCATGATGGCAGTAGATCTGTACTACTTCGTGTGCCATCCCCTACACTACCACGACAAAGTCACGACCAAACGCGTGGTCCTGGGCATCTTGGCGTTCAGGGCCTTTTCTCTCATCGGCGGACTAGCGCCTGTGGCCTTCAGCGGACTGCCCGAATACAACCTGCGTTGTGAGTTTGATCCTGCGAACAGTACTACCTTATCTGGCATCTTCAGAAGCGTGAACTTAGTTTTCTTGTTACTTGTTGTTTTCTCCGTCCTAGTGATCTACTGGCGTATCTTCAAGGAAGCCAGAAGACAGCAGGAAAGAGACGAGAACCGTGATCTGTGGGTGTTCCAGACCAAGGCGTTCAAAATGATGGTGCCGCATGCTACCGTTTTGACTGCATCCACAGCCACTATCGGTTTCCGCATAGCCATGGCACGAGCTGTGATCACAGAGGAACAGATGTCCCTACGCGGCCTGATGATCGCTGAACGCGCAGCCATCGTCCTGTACCTGACGCTATCGTCCGTGGCGAACCCCGTCATCTACAGCTTCCGGCTGCCAGAGTTTCGCCGAGCCTGCAGGGAGCTGTGCGGATGGCCGACCAACCCTAACCCGCCGGCGGCGGTACCGACACGGCGGCATCGCCAGGACGACGCGGAGACGGCCGCCGTCACCGGCCCCGGGCGGCGCGGTGCACCGGCCTCGGCATGGACGCCAGCTCAAGCCTCTTCAACGGGTCTCATCATTCGGCCCACAGTGGAGAACATGCCTTCAGACCAGCAGGCAAAACAGGAAGACACGATCCCCGGACCAGCGTCTCGAGCTCGTGCAGGACACCGTGGCCGCGAGACCGCTTCAAGGCGACCAATCCGGCTAACGGCGATGGCGGAGGTGCACACCGAGCCCAGGCCACGTCCCGGACCGGAGGACGAGACGGTAAACCTCCCCGGTCAAGTACACACGGGTGACGAGCCAGAAGACGTCCCTACACTAACTTTGGACGCCGAGACCGACGAGGCAACGGCAGGACACACTTTGGACCGCCCACCATTGCGATTGGCATGGGAGGACGATGCAGGGCAATGCAACAACGGCCAACCCTGCAGAAAGGTCACCAAAACAAGTACTCACCGTCTTAAAACTACAATGAACTTTGGAATAGAATGATGTAGAAAAATCAGGAACAAAACTACCCATGGACAACTGTGTGCATTCAAGTACAGTATATGTCGACGAACGTTGAAAATACATTTCCATCTCAAACTGGACAAATGACCCGTTTAGACAAGGAAGAGTTTGGGATTAGGAGCAGAACCTGAGTGTATGTAATCGGCTATGCACAAGGGCGGAGGTAGGTTTGTTTTCACCTATCTTTAAGGCTTGTTCATTCACTTGATATCTGTAAGACAGACGACAGTTTCACAGTCATGATCCATGCAACCTGGAACTACAAATGTTGGCTTTATTCCTTCACATAACGTAGTAATGTTCTTGCACGACAGTACGAGAAATACAAAATGTACGTACTATTGACCTGATTACAAAAAGTGAAAAATGGAGGGGGGATTTTGGATCATCTCAAATTACATATTTAAACAACTATGCCGTTGTAGACTTCCGCAAATTCAAAAGAATTCGTAGATCTTAATCCTATTTGGGTCCGTTAGTCCTTATTCTCAGTCTGTCGAGGTTGTCTCGAAAATTGATGTGTCTGACTTAGGGAGAAGGGATGCTGATCTAGTAGCCCGAAATTAGTTCAATGCCTAAGAGTAGTCTCTAGCCTTGCACTGAGCAAATTTATCCAAAAAAAAAAGAAAAAAAAAGAGTTCACAATTTGTTTGCGGACTAAAAACTTAATATTTTAGTGATGTACATATGCATGTGATATGCAAGATAGCTTACATCTTTTGTCGTTGGCTATTGATAATTGTCCCATACAGAAAATGTACAGTTCAATGTAGTTGTCGACGTCAAAATTTAGCGAGTGAGCAGTAGCTAGTATATTTAAGTCATTCTACGAGAAAACGACGCAAAACCAGAGGTCGGACGATGGGGGTCGACCAAATCGGCCTATACTTCGTATGTATAACATACATGTATATGTTGAACTGCTCAGAGTTTCTGCAATGACTCTTAATAAATTGTCTCCTAACGTAGGTATTCAATAACATTATATACCTTAATTATGTTTACCGAAGGAAAACAAATTGTTTTTGCTCCGTTTCTTCCTCTTCTTCTTCTCCAAACAGAAACCTATGACCTGACCAATGACATGATTTGTTGACGTCTGTCACCATGGTGACTGGTGTTGGGTTACATATTGTTGCAATTTCATGGTCCGCTCTGCTCCTGTCACCATATACATTTTGTACTAGTAGTACATGTATGTGGATGTGTTTGAGTAAGAATTAACAGAGCAGACCATGTCCGAAGGTAAACATTATGCATTATGTATTATGCAACACTGTACAAATATCTTCAGCATTGTTATTTTTTAATATTGTAGCCCATATACTCTGACCAGTATTGGTAGTTGCGAATTGTTGTTATGATTATGCACGTGCACCATTTACAATAGTTGCAAATTGTCATTTTCTGTAATATTCCCACCTGGATTGCTATGTGGTTGCAGTGCAATAAAAGTTTGTGGCGTGTAGTACATGTATTGGCTCCCTGGTATCTTTAGTATACCCATTCTTTATTTGTTCTATCATGTACGAGTCTTCGTCACAAGAAATAACTCTTGCACGACATGTATTCATCGGTTAACATCTAATAATTGCAAGAATTTTGTAATAACTGCTGTTGCTGGGAGCCTTTATGTCGATACTTTTCAGATGTGCTTTATTGTAAGCTGCCCTTTATAATACCCATGTCAAGCTAAAATAACGGGAATGTTCTCATAACTGTTAAACTGATCAACCACGGAATCATCTGATGATGTAGGACAGCGACAGGCCAATAATAATCATCACACATGCAGGCCTGAAAACAACGATGACTTGTAACTTTTATCTTACAAATTCGAAATTAATCTATCCTCATCATTTAACTTTAATACTTTAGGAGACACACCCTAGTAATTTTCTAATAAGTCATCTTTGTTTGACCCATGTATCTTTTAAATTGCGACCGCAACACTAGGCTTAATTGATGACTTGTTAAGTATAATGGCAAACCACATGCCCAATTACACTGTAATACTACGTACAGAACAATGCGTTTTTACTGCTGACATCTTCCAAAAACGGCCCCGTACCTTTTCGTGGGGACGAAACATCTGGTACTACTCATCGACCCCTCCCAACATCTGCCTGAAGCAACCCCCACCCCTTATTCAAAACGGGTTTTTCTGGACCATTCCAATTTGCCTCATAAATGTAGGGGTGCATCTGAAATATTACATTTACCGCGAAAACAGCAACGGTAAAAATGAAGACACGTGCATCAACACGGGCTTGCCTGCAGACGACGTATAAAATTGCATGCCGATTAAACAAAGGGAACCCAGTGTTTTGACTTCGAACACGAAAAACCGTCTGCCCACAATACTCCGTCAGGAGGTATACCTCCTTCACGGAGTAATATTGTCAGCTGCCCCTGATGGATGAACAACGATGGACGAACATCATCAGCTGCCCCTGAGCGAACAAACATGACGTGCTGTGGCTGTACCTCTGATTACTTACCCCCTTCGGACAACCCAGTGAAACAGCGCCACCAGGCGGAATTCTGACGAAGTGCCTTCATTGACTTGCCAATTAGCGCTCGAATCAATAAGAGACGAATGAGCTGATACATCACGCTGGCGTGCGGAAATCGATTTTCTGACAGATGGCTGTTTATGTTATGCAGATCTGGGGCTAAATCTACTGTGACACAAGAACATACAGACGCATATTTCTCACGCTAATGACTCATATGTATACCTTCTTAGCTTAGCTTTTAAAGAAGCCCAATGTAATTTTAGGGAGGCAAAACAGCAAAATATTCTGGATGAAAAAATCGGCCTGATATGGACATTAACATGTCATTTCTTAGCAAATTTTCGTCATTATTTCATATCTGAAGCGTTGAAATAGTCCCAAAACAAGCTACGTAGGGAGTCCCTTTATTTTCTGGTACCACCAATAAATAGACAGCTAGAACCAGCCTACGGTGCGAAACAAGCAAACGTTTGCCGTCAGTAACATCGTATTTTTGCCTCACAGATATCAGTATGCTATGATTCAACTTACTAGTACTTCTGTAACGTTAAAACATTACAAGAAAATTGACTTTGAAAATTCTCTTGAAATACTCTATATAGCTCTACTGCCTTGAAATCGCTTTGGGTGCTTTAAATTAATAGACGCCCGTATTGTTTTACACAGTAATGTTAACGTTGCGACTAGTCAGCTGCAAGTGAATCGTTAGTTTCATTACCTTCTTAAATGGACTGTTACAAGAAGTCAACATTCCTGATGTAATGCTCAAGTTTTAAAAGGAGACATATCGGTCACACTCTGTAAAATATCGTCATGCACTAAGGCGACTAAGTTCCCATGCCCGATACGAAATAATTGCTATGCCATCGATTTAAAATCTGGATAACCATATGGGTGTTTCTTTCAGGCAATTGGTTAGGCGTTAGATCGATGTAATGATTGGTTTATCAATCTATCGATTGATTGATTGATTGATTGATTGATTGATTGACTACAGGATGGACATGACTAATCTCTGAATTAAAGGTATCCAATACACTTTTAGGGAGGGAAAATAAAAAATATTCTGGATGAGAAAATCTGTCTGATATTGACATTAACTGCCATTTCTTAAGCGCATTTTTGTCATCATTTTTGAAACGTTTGAAAAATCCCCCCAAAAAAACAAGCTACGCGAGGAGTCCCTTGATTTTTGGTACCACCAATAAATATATAGCTGAAACGAGCCTACAATAGGACAATACGAAGCAAGCAACAATTTTTCCTATAGCGACATTTTTGCGACATTTTTTTCATATTTTTGCCTCACAGATATCAGTACGTTATAGGATACCATTATAGGGTTGATTCAACTTGATACAAATGACCAGAAAATTGACTTTGAAAATCAACCAGTTGTAATGCCCAAAATTGCTTTAAATATTCACCCATACCATTTAACTTTCTGATTCAAACTGGTCATCTAAACAGCACCGTCGCCCTTTCCAGTACGTGAAAGAACGCCCCCCTGATACCTGGCCTTTCCTAAAACCTGAATATTGATCACACGAACGAAGACGTCATTTGTTTTACCCTATGGATGTGCAACCCCGTAACACAACCTGATTTAGGCCACAGCAAGTAAATTTTATGGTTGACATCATCCGCGGACTCCAAATCTAATGCGAGCGGGCGAAAAAAAACAAGGCGGGACGAAAAAAAACAAGGTTCTTACATTTTAAAATTTTGACTCAATCATTCCACAAATGGTTTTGATTCAGTGGGAACATCACATATACACAGCCAGCATCACATATCACTGCATCAAGGTAAGAAACAAAACATTATAAATCAGAGCATTTTCTTGTCTCCTCTCTTCATAGTTATCTGTCATCCACCTTTCGGCATGGCAACAGACATCTTTGCCCATTTTCGGCATGTTGACCACTGTCAGAAGGCAACAAAATTTCTTGTTGTTTTTTTTCCAAAATCAGGCGAAAATTAATGCGCGTGCTGATGTCATCCATAAAAATTACTTGCTGTGGCATTATTTTGGAACAAAGGAATGCAAACAAGATCCCACTCGATACACAGTCGTAACAAATACTACTGTACACACCGACAACACCGTGTTGAGATATACACCCCGTGCTAGAGCCCGTGCGAGCATGCGGGAGAGCTTTTATTGACAAACGGCCGTGTCTTCAGCCCCTGACACGGCTCAACACGCTTGGCTGGTGAATGGCAAGGCAGGAGCGCCGACTGTATACCTTCCCGCGCTGCTTTGTACACTCACCTTCACTCAACCCCAAACATTGCTGTAGCGAGGCGCGGCGAGGGTGGGTCACAGAAGCGCTGGATAGCCATTCGCCGCTGGTAGATTTAGGGCTACTCTACGTACAGTGATGCTGCTATGATTGTTACCTGTTCACCTTTACGTACAGGACCCACCTTTACCTGACGTTGGAACGTCACCTACGTGTACACAGAACGCCGCAAGCACAAGATGACAACCGTACTGGCGTTGTTGTTCCTGGGGGCCTTCTTTGGTCGTTCGTCAGGTGAGCTATTGTACAGGTGCTGCTACTATTTACAGATACGTGACGGTGGATATCAGCAGTAGAGTACGTGTGTGTATTTGTCCACAGTAAGGGTTTGTTTCCAC